TCATCTTGATACCCCTTGTATCCACTTGCTACATGTCCTTTTCTTCTTGATTCCCCTGTATCCACTTGCTGCATGTCCTTCTCTCCTCAATTTCTCCCTGTATCCACTTGCTACATGTCCTTTTCTCATCAGTGGCGGATCCAGAAATTTTCATAAGAGGGGGCCCACTGACTGCCTAAGAGGGGGCCCGCTCCAGTCATGCTTCAGTGAATCCCTATATAAACAACCAAATTTTTCCCACAAAACGGGGGGGGGGGGGGGGCGGGCCCCCTGCCCCCCCCCCCCCCCTTAAATACGCCTCTGCTCATTGATTTTCCCTGTAACCACAAATGATTTCTTTACAAACTAATGTGTTTACTGAAAACTGCCACAATACGGATTTCCCCAAGACGCTGATATTGCCACTCCTTTGCCATGTATTATAGTAATGTAATGGCAAACACTTATTTATAGCAGTACATTTGTTAAAGGATCAGGATCTTAAAGGGATTAAAAGTAATACGAATGGACATGTAGCAAGTCTTACTTATGTATACCTATAATAATTTTTGAAAGCTTTGATTTTTCTTCTGCCAGTACTTGACTTGCAGTCATAATTTTGCTGCATCTTAATCTTGAAGAACCCGACCATAAGATAAGATGAAGGTTTATATGTTACGGCTTTTATTAAATGTTAAGGTTGCGATGAGACTACTATAACACAAGTCTCAGGGTTGTGTTGTAAGGTACCGAATGGTTTAAGATTAAACTTTTAGTATTAACAATGTATACAGGGGATTATATCAACTTTATTTAGTTGATATAGAAATAAGAATAAAATTGAGATTGGAAATTGGGAATGTGTCAAAGAGACAGCAACCCGACCAAAGAGCAGGAAACAGCCGAAGGCCACCAATGGGTCTTCAACACAGCGAGAAAATCCCACACCCGGAGCCGGGCTTCATCTGGCCCCTAAACAAAAATGTGTATTAGTTCAATGAAAATGGACTTCACACTAAACTCCAAAACATATAAATGAACTAAAATTAAAAAAAAACATACAAGACTAACAAAGGCCAGAGGCTCCTGGCTTGAGACAGGCGCAAAAATGCGGCGGGGTTAAACATGTTTTGTGAGATCTCAACCCTCTCCCTATACCTCTAGCCAATGTAGAATAAACAAACACACAGCAATACGCACAGTAAAACTCAGTGGTATGATTGTATTAAAGGCTCTGACATAACGTTTTCATTACTCAGATACTGAGTTACCAACATCAAAATAGGTAAGTTACATCCACGTCCATTTGAACTCTGGTGGAAAGTTGTCTAAGTGTAATCAAACTCCTTATCTGTATAGCTTTGATTAAAAAAAGCTTAATTTGAAAAAAAATACTACAATTAGAAAACGACTTTACGGATTATCTTGAGGAGAATCACATCACAACAAAAAAAAAAACAGATTATTATTGAAGATTGCGTCGACATTGATTTTCAAGTTTCCAATTTATGTCCCGATTTAGACGCTTAGAGACCGGCCACCATGTATAACAGTCACTGACCTCCATTCACTTAGATTAAACACAATAGATGGACATTCTTTAGACGCTTAGAGACCGGCCACCATGTATAACAGTCACTGACCTCCATTCACTTAGATTAAACACAATAGATGGACATTCTTTAGACGCTTAGAGACCGGCCACCATGTATAACAGTCACTGACCTCCATTCACTTAGATTAAACACAATAGATGGACATTCTTTAGACGCTTAGAGACCGGCCACCATGTATAACAGTCACTGACCTACATTCACTTAGATTAAACACAATAGATGGACATTCTTTAGACGCTTAGAGACCGGCCACCATGTATAACAGTCACTGACCTACATTCACTTAGATTAAACACAATAGATGGACATTCTTTAGACGCTTAATTTTAGAGACCGACTATCATATATAACAGTGACTGACCTACATTCACTTATATCTTTACTACTGAAGGAAGAGACCGATTTCATTGAGCCGCAACTCCTCTCTGAAACCACACAAAGTCGGAAATATTTATGATATAACACATAAATGTAGTGCTTTGTTGTACTTCCTAAGTTTGTCTTTGAAACATACTTTTTTCCACAGAAAACGCCAATTTTTGAGAAAATATCCAAATTCGGAGACAGTTATCGATCCTAGTCTTAATCGCTTTCGAGCATTCTCAGTGGACGTACTGCCCGACAACTCGGCCCACGGCCAACTCGCACCACTCAAAAAAAAAAAAAGAAGAAATATAACAAACTCGAAGAAATGTGTTTAATCATTAGATTGTTTTCTTCTTCTCTTAGTAAATTCCTCCTTTCTCGGAGCACCCGTGTCACGCAGAGACAGAACTCGCACCACTCGAAAAAAAAAAATACTACAAACTCGCACCACTGAAGAAATGTTTTAAATCTTCAGTGAGTTCTAGATTGTCTTCTTCTTCTCTGAGTTATTTCCTCCGTTCTTGGAGCACCCGTTTCACACAGAGATAGTACTTGACTCGCACCTTTCGAAAAAAAATCAGTGAAATACTACAAACTAGCACCACTGAGAAATGTTTTAATCATCAGTGTTCTAGGCTGTCTTCTTCTTCTCTGGGTTATTTCCTACGTTCTAGGAGCACCTGTGTAACACCGAGACAGAAGCTACTAATTGGACATCCAAACCCATATGGAAGAAGAACTGACAAACTAATAATTACTATCAACATAATGCATCAGTGCATAAAAACAGTTTGAGAAACACGAACCCAAGCTGTGTATCACCATAAACATTTCAAGTAGTCTTCAAGTCACGATCGAGCGGTTTTTTTCTAGATAAACAAAATAGAAGGACATTCTTAAGACGCTTAGAGACCGACCACCATGTAAATAGTTGTAAAACTGCACTACAAGAAGCAAAACAGTCTTCATCCACCTAAAGAAGATTTTGATACCGACATATACTCCATGCTTCATTTACTGAAATTAAATTTTATTTTCTATATCAGTATATATATATTTACAAGTGTGATGATGCGTCTTGAGGAGTGCAACTTTGATAAACTTAAAAGGCGGTCAGAGAGCTAGGTTTTCAGAAAGAAATTAACCTGGTGGGCGGATGAGTATAGGAGAGCGTACATTGTAGCAGCATGCAGTCAAAACGAAGGTCACTCTGACCTATTAATGCAGGTCATATTCGATAGAAGAAGGTAAAAGCTTTTAAAAAAAGTGACATAAGATTATGTTACATTGTATGATTAGCAGAGTTCTGATAATAAGACACGATTTGTGCGGAAGAGTTGTCCTATTCCCCCCCCCCCCCCCCCCCTTGATTTTACACATTATATAATCTACATGTGCCATCAATGATACTATAGTTTGTTTTAAAGATATACCAAGATAAAAGAAAAGAGGCAACATAAGATAGTAAAATGACATAATATTTATATCTTTTATTAATGTAAGAAATCTGACAGAGAAGAAAATACTGATTTTCTTGAATGTGATTCAATCAAGTTCACTTCCCTGATACCATTATGTACCTAGATATATATATACAGCACGTGTCGTAATATTATGTCAGACGCATGATACATTTCATTTATGATTGGCAACATATTTGTTACGTTTGGCGGACATGTTTTTTCAACTAACAATCGGCATTCCCATGGGAACAAACTGCTAATTTTTTCCTCTCTTCGTATGAGACTGACTTCATACAGCAGCTTCTTAGGAAGAATGAAAAGAAACTATAGCATTATCCTTTAACGTCACGTCCCACTATATAGATGATGTCCTCTCACTAAATAATTCAAAGTTGGATGACTATGTTGAACGCATTAATTCCATTGAACTTGAAATAAAGGATACAACAGATACAGTTAAATTTGCCTCACATCTAAGGGATGAATCCAGGATTTTTAAAAAGAGGGCGTAATTCCATAAAAGTGAGGTAGTATCGTAAAAAATTTTGGACGATTTTATGCTTAAAAATGAAATAATTTTCAATCAAAGGGGATCGTAAGCCCTCTACGCTCCCCCCTTGAATCTCCACGGCATCTTGACTTACATCTAAAAATTGACAATGGGGACGGTTGAGAACAAACGACAAACGAGATGATTTCACCTTCCCAATTGTGAACTTTCCATTTCTATGTAGAAACATTCCAGCAGCGCCTGCATATGGTTAATATATCTCTCAGTTGATACGATATCCCGGAGCTTTTATTTCCTATCACGATTTCCTTGATAGGATAGAGGGTTGCTACTTACAAGGAAGCTATTAAACAAAGAGTTCCAAGTGGTGAAGTTGAAATCACCACTTCGAAAAGTTTACGGCCGACATCAGTAGGTTGACCGCTTTTTAATATCTGTTAAACAGATGACGATGGATATGATCGAATTGTCATAAACACAACCCGTCCCCTTTTACTCGAATGTGACCTACCGAAGTAGACTTATCACCAGCATTGTACTTATTTGAGCAACACGACAGGTGCCACATGTGGAGCAAGATCGGCTTACCCTTCCGGAGGACCTGAGATAACCCCCCCCCCCCCCCCCCCCCCTTACCCCCGGTTTTTATACGCCCGTTTACGGGACGTATAATGGTATACAGTTGTCGGACAATTACTCAAAAACGCTTTAACCAATTTTCCCTTAGTCTTTTTTTCGTTTTTTGCCACGGCATTGTCTGCTTGTTTTCGACTTGTTAGTTTCAATGTCCATTTTTTATCTTTCGCCTCTCTTTTTCAGTCATTTATTAAAAAAAAAATTTAGATAAACATTTGTTTAAAGAGGGAACTATATCTTATTTAAATTACATAAAATTTATTTGGTTATCTTCGTTGATCTAGTGTTTTTCAAGACGGCGTCATTTGACTGAAAGGCAATAGTTTGAAAACTTAAGTGATATGCTGATATGCTTGGACTTCTAAACTTATATATGTGAAACATCTTAAAATGGGGTTAAAATCACATATTTGTCAATTTTAATTGTAGCATCTGATGGTGGCCATGAAGGACATGTACACTTCGCCCCAGAACAAGTGGAATCTCATAACATGGAAATCCAAGTGAAAAATATAAACGACGATACAATAGACATACATTTGGGTTTTCTAAAAGTCCATCATTACTATGAAGTTTCCTTCTGTGTTCATGATAAGTTGGGAGAAGATGTTGAAACGGATCCATTACAAAATGTCCATGTGACCGTACAACAGATTACACCAACAGAAGCTGGTAGGTAAAATGTCCTTCTAATAATATGTCATCGAGAAAGCGCCTTCATTTCTGATCATATCCTCTTTGGATTTCTATGAAGAGATCCATCCATAAATACCTCACAATTATACATAACAGAGTAAAAGAATTTTGTATATTGCTTCATTATAGGAAGCACTTGTAATGTTTCAAGTTATGTCTAACAGGTACCACATGCCTTTAATTTATTTTATTTGTTACATTTCAAAAACTTCAGTACATTGTATGTGTCACAGGCCATAAAAAAGAATATTTGTTTGCCCTAACCCTACCTACCCAGAAAATAGCTGCCTACTCAAAATCTTTTATTGTCCTGATGTGATTTTTATGCCCCCGCCGTAGCAGAGGGGGCATTAAGTTTTACCCTTGTCCGTCTGTACGTCCGTAAGTACGTCCGTCCGTCCGTACGTCCTAAAGTTGATTTCCGTTCACTAACTTTAGTTTGCCTCAACCAAATGTTATAAAACTTATACACAATGCTTATTACCACTAAATACAGATCAAATTTGAATTTTGGTGGCGTCACTTTTACCGTTCTAGAGTTATGCCCCTTTACAAATGGAAAAATTGCTAAATTTTTCGTTTCCGTTCTCTAACTTAAGTTTGCCTCAACCAAATGTTATGAAACTTATACACAATGCTTATTACCACAATATACAGATCAAGTTTGAATTTTGGTGCTGTCACTTTTACTGTTCTAGAGTTATGCCCTTTACAAATGGAAAAATTGCTAAATTTTTCATTTTTTTTTCTAAATATCAAGTAATTTTTAAAATTAAAGTTATCTTTCTTTGTACATGATTATATTTGAATCAACTATAATCAATGCTTTATACAATGCAATGTTTAATTTTGCCTTCCACTGATAGATTAGAGCAATTTTTACCCTTCATTCCTAAATCTTCTTTGAAAATTGGAGTTATCTTTCTTTGTACTAAATGGTAGTTGAATCAACTACAACCAATGTTTATACAAATGAAAAAAATGCTGAATTTTTTGTTTCCATTCTCTAACTTGAGTTTGTCTTAAAACTAAATGTAATTTCTAAAAATATCAATGTCATTATTCAAGTAATTTTAAAATTTGGAGTTATCTTCCTTTGTCCATGATTATAGTTGAATCAACTACAATCAATGCTTTATACAATGCAATGTTTAATTTTGCCTTCCACTGATAAAACACAGATCAAGTTGAATTTGGGTAGTGTCACTTTAACCATTATTGAGTTATGCCCCTTTATAAATCGAAAGATTGCAAAATTTTTAGTTTCCATTCTGTAACTTAAGTTTGCCCCAACCAAACATTATGAAACCTATACACAATATTCATTACCACAAAATTAAGATCAAGTACAATTTTTTTTGTTTCCGTTCTCTAACTTTAGTTTGCCTCAACCAAATGTCATGAAACTTATACACAATGCTTATTACTACATAATACAGATTAAGTACGAAATTTGGTGGCATCACTTTTACCATTCTTGAGTTATGTCCCTTTATAAACATAAAAATTGCTGAATTTTTTGTTTCCGTTCTCTAACTTTAGTTTGTCTGAACCAAATGTTATAAAACATATACACAACCGTTCTAGAGTTGTGCGTGTTTACAAATAAAAAAAATGCTGAATTTTTAGTTTCTGTTCTCTACTTAAGTTAGCCTCAACCAAATGTTATGAGACTTACACACAATGCTTATTATCACAAAACTCAGATCAAGTTCAAATTTGGGTAGCGTCACTTTTACCGTTCTTCAGTTATGTCCCTTTATAACTATATGCTATGCAAGCGGGGGCATCATCTGTGTCCACATGTGGACACAATCCACATTTATTTTTTTAATCAGATAGGCATGAGACTAAAAAGCATCTGACACTTCAATTTATCTTTGTCGAAAAAAAAAGAAAATGCCTACCTACCTACCTACCTACCCACTGTCTCTATCTTTTGGTAGGGTTTGGGCAAACCAAAATATTTTTAAGTGTGGCCTGAGACATTTTTAGTCTCTTGTTAATCTGTATTATTTCCATTTTCCGTCAACTTATAAGTTCTCTATTAAAGAGGGAAAATACTCTGCTTTTTTCTGGATCTATGATACTGTTACGAGTGCCAATATATACAGTATACAATAAGGAGATGTGGTATGATTGCTAATTAGACATACATCCAACAGAGTCCAAACGAAGCGGATTTAAGCAACGTGTATATATTCAGGAGCTTCTGAGCTAAGCAATTCCATTATAAGTCAAATAATTACATGAACTCATATGTTTTCGTTATTTATGAAAAAAACAAGATAAAGAAATCCTTTTTTGTGACAATCTGTATTTAATCTGTTTGTTCATCATTTGGTATTATGATTATTAAACAAAAATCGGTCAATACAACAAACAAAACATTGACAATTGCGTTTTGTCGTTTTTCAACAAATAAAAAAGATAAAAATATATTTACAGTAACTCAATGATAACGTGCATTCACAAAGAATATCTGGAAATGTAATAAAGGATTCCTGATCAACAGTTTGGGAATATCCTCGCTAGCCTTCAGAATAATGAAAAAATAACAAACGGCATTGATGGAGTTTTGTGTCTCATTTGGGAGCTAGAAAAATCATTTGGAGCACTTTAAAAAGTTAAGCTGTTGTCTCTTTTTAAACACAACAGGAAATTTAACATTAAAATGTTCTTTTTGCACGATACTGGAGATTGTATCATGGAGCGTTAAAACAGAAAACAAAACGGCATTCCAAAGAATAAACAAGATACACACGCTGAAATGTCTCGCCTGCTTTACTGACCATTGGTTTTATGTTGAAAGTCTTTAAGACAAAGGCTTTTACTAAAAGTATCACATAAACTTAACATTTTTATACGTCCGTTTACGGGACGTATTATGGTATACCGTTGGCCGTATGTCTGTCCGTCTGTCCGTCCGTCCGTCTGTCCGTCAACATGTCGGACATTAACTCAAAAACGCTTTAACCAATATGCATGAAACTTTGTTGAATTGTTTATATCTATTGACGTGAGCTCCCTTTCGTTTTTTATAACTTTCGGATTTACCGTTTCCGAGTTTTCGGGTTTTATTCATTAAAAAAGGGGGGATTTTCAAGTTTGTGGACAATAACTCAAAAACAATTTCACCAATTTGCAAGAAACTTTGGTGAATTGTTTATTTCTATCGACATGAGCTCCCTTTTGATTTTTATAAATTTTAGACCATACTTTTCCGATTTATGGGGTTTTATTCATTACAAAAAGGGGAATTTTCCAGTTTTCGGACAATAACTCAAAATGCTTTCAGATTTTTTATGAAACTTTGGTGAATTGTTTATATCTTTTCAGTATTGATGTAAGCTCCCTTTAGAATTTTATAAATTTTACATTTTACATTTCCGAGTTATGGGGTTTATTCATTAAAATAGGGAGGATTTTCCAGTTTTTGGACAATAACTCAAAAACAATTTCACCAATTTGCAAGAAACTTTGGTGAAATTGTTTATTTCTATCGACATGAGCTCCCTTTTGATTTTTTTGAATTTTAGACTTTACGTTTCCGATTTATGGGGTTTTATTCATTACAATAAGTGGGATTTTCCAGTTTTCAGACAATAACTCAAAAATGCTTTCAGCATTTGTTATGAAACTTTGGTAAATTGTTTATATCTATTGTTGTAAGCTCCCTTTTGATTTTTATAAATTTAAGATATTACGTTTCCGAGTTATAAGATTTTATTCATAAAAAAAGGGTTGATTTTCAAGTTTTTGGACAATATCCTTAAAGTGCATAGAGCATTTTTCATTAAACATTGATTTATATCTATTAAGATAACCTCCCTTTAGTTTTTTTTTTTAAATTTCTGATATAACATTGAGAAGTTATTGTTTGTTTATAGTCTGACAACAGATTTACTAAGTATTGCGCAACAGCACAGTGTATTGCACAACAGCAAGAAATCTTTAATTGAATATAAATTTATATTCATATAACAAATTTCAAGTTCTTTCACTACATTTATTCAGAAACCTATAATATGTCAAATATTTATGTAACAATCCAAATTCAGACCTGGGTATCAAGCTTGAATATTGTGTCCATTTTTGCCCCAACTATTCAGGGTTGGACCTCTGCGGGCGTATCCAGCTGCGCTCAGCGAAGCAGTTTATTAAAGATTTATGACAATGAGGTCAAGGTCAGATAAATCCTGTCAAACAGACATGTACTCCTTACAATTATTCCATACACCAAATAATTTATAGTTGACCTATTGCTAATGGTAATTGAAAAACAGACCAAAACACAAAAAACTTAACATTGACCAATGAACCATGAAATTGAGGTCAAGGTCAGATGAAACCTGCCAGACTGAAATGTACCCCTTACAATCATACCATACACAACATATAGTTGACCTACTGCTTATAGTATCTGAGAAACGGACCTAATCACGTAACTTTAACCTTGATCACTGATCCATGATATGAGGTCGAGGTCAGGTGAACCCTGTCTGACGGACATGTTGACGTTGCAAGGAACCCATTTACCAAATGTAGTTGTCCTATTACTCACAATAAGTGAGAAATGCACAAGACAAAAAAACTATATTTTTTTTTCAATACGACGAATATGTTCCAAATGTATTAATTGTCGTAACCACAATCCCGTCCTCTTTTCATCGAATTTGTACTTACATGAGGAACAAAAGGGGTGCCCCATATCGAGCAGAATCTGCTTACAGTTCCGGGGCACATGAGAAAACCCCTCGTCTTTGGTGAGGTTCGTGTTTCTTAGTCTTTAGTTTTCTATGCTGTTTTTCGTAGATTGTTGTTTGTCTTTTGGTCATTTTTCGTTTTTAGCTCACCTGGCCTAAGATTTAGTCATCAATCACTTGGCGTCCATCGTCGTCGTTCGTCGCCCTGAGAGAAACTGTAAATAGAAAAAAAAGTAGCTGATGGAACGTTGCTTCATACAAATGAAAAGTTCAAAAGTGGTGTTCAAAACTTTACGGCACCATCGGTTTTTATAAGAAATCGAAGATATGGCAGTCTTAGCTGAATCTGCGGTATCCCTTGATGAACGATGCAGACCTATTTAATATTCTCCATACAGACCAATTGGAATTGAAAATCTGAACGAAAAGTTTCCCCAACACCCAAGTCCTACAGCAAGATTGTGTAGATTTTTTGAAGGAACAAATATGGCAAGCCATTTTACTATTTATTCTAACTTCAAGATATCTAATACACTTTATAAGACATCTCATATAGTTTATAAGATATCTCATATAATTTGTAAGATATCTCATATAATTTATAAGATATCTCATTTAGTTGATAATATATCTTATATAGTTTATAAGATATCTCATATAATTTATAAGATATCTCATATAATTTTCTTTATAAGATATCTTATAAATTATATGAGATATGTTATTTAGTATATGAGATATCTTGAAGTTATAATAAATAGTAAAACGGCTTGCCATAAACAAATGTGACGATTTTTTTATGATGTTATGTTTCAGGAAATGGTCATTCGCTTATGTTACATTTTTATGCTCATAAAGAAAAGCTATTAAAGGAGATACTATTCCTCAAAAGTTGTAGTGATCCAGAAAAGACTGTGAAATTAATTTTACACGCTAGGGTGCTAGGTATGTAGGCTAGATAGTTTTTATATTATTCATTGATATTATAGTAACTCTTGACGTAAAATAATTTAACCTCGTCAAATATTTTTTTATATAAATTTTGTAGAGAAAACATTTTCTCTTTTGTTTCTGATGGCAGAATATATAAGAATATATTCAATCTAACCTTTGCTTGCCGTCTATTTGTTACTTTAAGGTAAACGCAATATAAAATTAATGTGTTGTCTTTTCCTTATACACATTCTGACATCTTGCCATAAAATATAAATGGATACTTCGCCAGCATTAATTTTTTATTTATTATTTTCTTTTGTGAAATGAAAAACTAGTACATTGCATTCGATTTTTATCTCTCCATGAAGACATAATGATTGAAAAATATATTGGTGTCGATGTTAATTTAACATTATCATTCCAACGGACGTGGGTGCTCCGCATATAAATATTGAATGAATAGCCTTGAGGTAATATTGTCATGACAAATTATAGCTTTGTAATAACGGATTATACAGATAATGGCTAATGTGGATGTATATATATATATATATGTGATGACATTGAGATTATACCGAGATGGTGGTGTTTCTCTATAGAAGCGAGATGGAAAACCTTGTCTTCTGAGAATTAGATAGCGCTATAATGGAGATTTATGGCGATAAGAGAACGTCGATTTGTCTACTTTGTTCAAAGTTAAACTTGTCGAACGAAAATTGTAAATTTATGTTTGAGTTTGTAATATATGATTATTTAAAATTTCAACATCAACGTCCAATGGCAACTATTTCATACATTTAAGGTGCTGAAATGGGGTTTATAGAGAGCATTGTTGGGAGGTTTTGACAAATACATTAAATTGAGGACATGATGGGTATGATTAAAGGCACAAATACTTATCTCCTGAACATGCACGAAATAGTTGCCACTGGACGCTAAGTAACCAACATTCAATCAATCAATCAATCAAATTATTGTCAAAGAAGCAAATTATCTCTATTTTGAAGAATCGATGTATAAGTGACATTAACAACTTAACGTTAGTCCAGTGTCCTCAATACACTTGAAATATTTGCTACTGGACGTAAACAATGTTGAAGCAAACAACGTGCATTATTTACGCCAGTCAAACTACCAAAACATGAATGATAATAATAATCTCTTTTGTTTATAATATAAATCAAAATTATTGTAATCATATTTTAATGTTATATATATTATACTAGAATACTTTTCAAATTTTTTTTGTAGGTAGAGGAAAGGGAACACCCGCTTTAAAGAATGGCATCAAATGTTTTAAAGTGGATCCGGAATATGATTCTGACGCTATGAGTGACTGGCAAGGCTTTTAATGTTTGTGAATGTCAAGTTTTTTTTAAAAGTTCCAAACTACTTTCTACGTATTTCAAGTCTGATCCTTGTAATGAAACAATGGTATTGACCTTTACTAATAGATGAGGAATATACTGTCGGTTGTTTTATTGATGACGTTTAAACTTCAAGGGAATACTAGTATATGTTATAATATTGTGTATGTTGTATCATCAAATGATATTTTAATCAAAAGTCTGTTGTACAAATTAGATATATAAACGTCATGTCGTGTTCTTTATTCAAGGCAGACAACTCTATTCAAACAAAAATTACCTCCCATTCTTCATTCTATTTTATATATCTCCATTCTTATACAGCCAATAATTACATTGATACACAGAAACAAACAATTGCATAAACAGTAAACATAATATAAATACAATGACGAGAGAGCACAATTAACCAAATAACATCAGATATAACAAAGCTTAGCAAGGAGGACAAACCCAATTATTTACACATTTGGTATACATAGAGTATGAGTTTCTTCAGAATTGCTTTACGGTTACAGGACACAATGCTAAAATTTTGATTGCGCACTGACTGTTAGTAAAATAAGTATTAATATAATTCTTTCGTTCTTGAGCAAAAACCATGCATTCAAAAATGTAGTGATACTCATCACCATCCTGTCTATTAGTACAAACGCTACATAAGCGATTGCCCATTTCTATATATTGCTTGGGTATTTGTTGTTCTAAATTTACAAAATCTTACAGATTTTTGAAAATCAAGGATGTTGGTGTATTTTTCAAATTCTGAAGTTTTGAAGATATTATAGTTTAGAACCAATATCATTATCAAATTCTAGCTGACTGGTCCATCGGGTCAGTGGATGTTTAAATTCATATTTGCAGATATATATCATCGCAATAACTGCTTTCTTTTTTCTTGTTTTCTAGCCTCAGTAGCCAATCATTTTCATTCATAACTTTGTACTCTCGGGGACTTTTTACCGTCAGTATCAATTAAAAAGATAACTATAAAATAGGACAATTAGGCAACTGATCAGTGACAGCAGACATTTGTTTTACATTTTGAAATTGAGGAGGAAACAACAGCCGAGTACATTTCAACTTTTCATTTAATATTTGTAGTATAGTGTCAGAGTGTGACCATTTATAAAACGTGCATATAAACATACACATTGCCTTGAAGTTTTATTCATATATGAGGAGGGGTAGGACCTTTATCGGGACTCCGGGATCGGGTGTATTTAAGCTCGGGATTTCGGGATTGATCCTTTCGGGATCCGGGAATTCTTTTTTCGAATTTCGGGATGTCGGGATTTAATTTTTTTTTAAATTCGGGACCTCGAGATTTCGGGATCAGGCCCCCTCCTACCCCCCCCCCCCCCCATATATGCACAAAAATGAGATGAAAATGGTGCATTTAATCTTGTAATCTTCGTGCAATTTTAAGACTGGTTAATTATAGGTCAAAAGAAGGTAAACGGAGACAAAACCTATATATTGTAACCATTGCAGAATTTACACTCTAGAAGATGTTTTATTTCCATTAAATGGGCTCACAAAGAGCATATAACAATATAAGACACTATTTAAAAAACAACACCAAACAATAATCAAGTATACATGCAAAGAAAAGAAAAAGCAGTTTGAACATGAATGAACTACACACACATATAAATATATAAGTTAACAAGTGTAATACCTCCTTCTCAGGCACACCCCAACATGTAAAAGTGCATTTAATAAATTGGCAATATATTCGATATGTAACAACTGCAAAAGCCACCTAGGGACGGTGCTGCATGGCAAGGTGGGAGATAGACGCACATGGTATACATGTATGCATGTAAATAGATAATTTGGTTAAAATGTTATGAGGAGATGCACAAACCTGGCATGTCATCCTCGTGCCTGATGCAGAGGGGTTGATACATATTGTAAGGTGACCCGACTGCAGGATGCTTTAAGGGACGATGATAAATGACATGCCCAAGTATACGTTGAACCAAACAGAAAAAGTCTTATTTATAATAGATATGGGAACAATTTCATTTGAGGTGCACCCGAGACATATTCGGTTTTGTTCAGAAATACCATGATATCGACCTTGTTCAATTCTAAGTCTATGTGACGAAATACGAAATCCGAGTAAAATTTCTCCGCTCAGGGGATCGCAATAAAATAAGATATCTTTCAAGATCAAAGTTTGTCTTGAAAGCGCTGTAGCTACAGAGCTTTCCATCAGCACAGTTGTGCATTTCGAATCTCCATTGATCATCATAGTACTGGTACAGATTTTTTTTTGGTATAAAAATGTTAAGCTATAATTGCTTGTAGAAGCTAAACTGCCAAACCCTTTAATATTCTTTAGAAAGAAGTTTAAGGATCCATACCATGACGGAATTTGTTTTGACTCGTGTAATAATTTTGACTCTAAATATGCCTCCTTCAGTAATGGAAAAGATGAACACGAATTTTCAAGCCTGTGCCAGTATCTGATCATAGACTTTGCAATGTCATAATGCAGAGGGAATCTACCTAGTCCAGAAAGAGTGGCAAAATGTTTTGCCCTCTTGCCAACGCCAAGTAAAAGTTATAAAATTTAATATGTAGTCTTTCTGAAAGAAGATGATGAAAAGCCTGATTTATAGTTGTAGTCATAGATTTTAATTTTTTTAAAGGGTTAAAATATCCCCAAATCTGAACTATATAAAATAATAAGTTTAATTGTATAATCAAATACATGAAGGCTGTTTTTTATACTTGGATTCAGTGACAAAAAGTCCTTGCGTAGATTGTGGTAGGCTTCTAACGCATTATTATACAATTCTGGAAGGAAAAAGATCCAGATGCACTTAAAGTTATTCCTAAATATTTACAATGCTCAGAACAAAGAATAAGTATGTCATTAAGATAAAAATTATGTTTGATATGTCTGTCTGTCTTGTTAAATGCAAGCATCTTACTTTTATTGGGATTAATTTCTAACATCTTTACAATAAGTAATTAATCGATCAAGTTTACTCTGAAGTCCTTTTGCTGAAGTTGAAAAAAATCACAATATCATCAGCATATGATAAACAATGGACTGGTTGTGAATTAACGACTGGATCAGGCGAGTTTTTAAGACAATCCGGAAGGTAATTAAAGAAAACTTTAAACAAATTAGGACTCAAATTATTCCCCTGTTTTACTCCTACTTAAGTTCTAAAGAGGGCTGTCACCCTATTCTTTAATCGAACACAATATTTACCATGGGCATACATGCTCTTAATGATATTATAAAAATTTGAACCCACCCCTATATTTAATAGTTCAAGTTTTATTCCTGGATGAATGGCAGTATCGAAAACCTTCTGGAAACCAACAAAGCAGGCAAACACTCTACCTTCTTTCGTGTTACAATACTTATCAATAATGGTCTATGGTCAGACAGTCGGGCTTTTTTTGTAAACCCAATTTGGCTATCATTAATGATATGATATTTATCTAAGAATTTACAAAGACGGATGTCAAGTATTTTATTAAAAAGCTTTCCCAATGAGTCAGTGATTGTGATTCCTCGATAATTATTAGGATCAGATGCATCATTCCCTTTATGATTTGGGAATAAATAAGCTGTGGCCCAGGGTTCTGAGTATTTTCTATAAGAAATACCAAAATAAATTTTAATAGGAAACATGGTAGTAAAGAGGTTTGACCATTTTTGTCGAGCCTGCGACTTTTGTCGCAAAAGCGAGACATAGCGATCCTACATTCCGTCGGCGTCGTCGTCGTCGTCGTCGTCGGCGGCGTCCAAAATTATTCACTCTGTGGTTAAAGTTTTTTTAAATTTTAATAACTTTCTTAAACTATTCTGCATTTCAACCAAACTTAGACAGAAGCTTGTTTATGATCATAAGATAGTATCCAGAACTAAGTTTTGTAAAAAAAAATCCTGTTTATCCGTATTTTACTCATATATGGACTTAGTTTTTCTGCCTGTTTACATAACATTCACTCTGTGGTTACAGTTTTTCAAATTTTAATAACATTCTTAAACTATCTTGGATTTGTACCACACTTGGACAGAAGCTTGTTTGTGATCATAAGATAATATCCAGGAGAAAACTTTGTAAAAAAAAAATCCTGTTTGTCCGTATTTTACTCATATATGGACTTAGTTTTTCTGCCAGTTAACATAACATTCACTCTGTGGTTAAATTTTTTAAATTTTAATAACATTCTTAAACTATCCTGGATTTGTACCACACTTGGACAGAAGCTTGTTTGTGATCATAAGATAGTATCCAGAAGAAAATTTTGTAAAAAAAAACCTGTTTAACCGTATTTTACTCATATATGGACTTAGTTTTTTCTGCCAGTTAACATAACATTCACTCTGTGGTTAAAAATTTTCAAATTTTAATAACATTCTTAAACTATCCTGGATTTGTACCACACTTGGACAGAAGCTTGTTTGTGATCATAAGATAATATCCAGGAGAAAACTTTGTAAAAAAAAATCCTGTTTGTCCGTATTTTACTCATATATGGACTTAGTTTTTCTGCCAGTTAACATAACATTCACTCTGTGGTTAAATTTTTTAAATTTTAATAACTTTCTTAAACTATCCTGGATTTGTACCACACTTGGACAGAAGCTTGTTTGTGATCATAAAATAGTATCCAAAAATAAATTTTGTAAAAATTTATTTCCTGTTTTTCCGTATATTACTTATAAATGGACTTAGTTTTATTCCAGTTAACATTACGTACAGTCTGCAGTTAAAGTTTTTAAAACATTTATTAGATTCATAAACCTTCTTGAATTTTTACCAAAATTGAACAGAACTTCTTACAATCAAAAGATAGTATCTAGAGGAAAATTCTTAATAATTTTTTCCCCATTTTTGTTGAGCCTGCGACTAACAGCAAAAGTAGGCGAGACACTGAGTTCCGCGAAACCCTTACGAATTTTTTAACATAGTATTGGAGATATTATCTAAGCCTGCGGCCTTAGTAACCTTTAGAGATGACAAACAATAGATATTTCAGTTTCAGAGATCCTACTGTCGTGTTCATTAAAACATTTACTTTTTTTCAATAATATTAAGTTTTTACTCTAAATACTGAAGTCGTTCTTTGAATTCATATTTTTGTTCTGTTAAATTTTTAACCAATCTGTTGGGGCTATCAATGCACTTTTATCATCTTTCTCTTAACCCTGCAGTTCATCAATCAGTTGCCAGACAGTACTGCTTTAGATTTTCGTCAAAAAGATTTTCTATTTGGTGAAGTAATGACTATTTATACTCCCTATATTTGCATTTACGAGCCTTAGTTATACAAGCTGCAGTTTGTAACAGTGGTCTTTAACAGCAGCGTCTCTGTGATATCTGGATTACATTTTTCCATAATTCAAGAGGTTATTTCTCATATATGGAAGGTTATTTTGATGTTTTACTTTTTGACCCAAGTGTAATTTACGTTTCGTAGGAGCTATAATATTAGCAGCTGAGGTAATAACATCTGTTTATTCTAGAGATGCTTTTTCAATTGATTCCTGGGAATCTATAGAATGTTGTTTCATACATTTCGCTGTTGAATTTCTTTAGAAAAAAAGTGCCTCCTGAAAAAAGACTGGAGAAGGCATAGCTGAACGGAGCATAAACTAATTTTGATGAAATTTTCAGACTATTGACTAACATTAGGACAAAAGAAGGCAAACTGAGACACAAACTGATATGTGATCTGTACATGAACGATACTCAATCTGGCAACAAAGTTAGAAATGATGGCTAAAAATGGAGAAAACTAAATTTCGTTAAACTAAGTCAAATGTTTGGATTATATATGAAATTGGTACTCCGCTAAGAATATTATCATCATAAGTATGTCGCATCTAATACCAAACGGTTCTCTATTGAATTCCGATAAGTATGTCGCATCTAATAACAAACACTTCTCTATTGAATTTTGATAAGTCTGTCGCATCTAATAACAAACGGTTCTCTCTATTGAATTCCGATAAGTCTGTCGCATCTTATACCAACTGTTCTATTAATAGAATTCTGATAAGTCAGTCGCATACAGAATTAATTTATAAGTCTGCCGCATCAGTCTAATACCAATGGTACTCCTAAGATCGTTTCAATGTCTACATAATTTACATGTCTGTTAGACGGGGTTCACCTAACCTTGACTTTATTAGATGGATCAATGATCAAGGTTATGTTTTCGTGGTAAAGTACATATCTAAAATACTATCAGCAATAGATCAACTATGCATGTGGTGTATGGATTGGTTGTTATATGTGTACATCTCAGTCTGCCAGGGTTCATATGTTTATGGTTCATTGGTCAATGTTAGGTTTTCGTGGTAGGTAAGGTTCGTTTTTCAGATACAATAAGCAATAGGTAAACCATAATTGGTGTATGCTATGATCAGTGGGAAATCTAGTGAACGAAAACAAAAGAAAATTCACTCTTCTTATGATAGAGTCGAGAAAGTCAATAATAAAACAATGCCGGTGACGATACTGATCAAAAGTTATTTCTAAATAATAAGTGTACATTTTAAAGAAATTATTTGTTAAACTGTGTTATTAGAAATATACATGCAAATACACGATGTTTTATGTTCAGTGTTTATCGAGATAATTGCATTAAAAGCTTGTGAAACTGAAATTTAAAAAAATGCTAATCTTTGCTGCATATTGATAAAAAAAAACTGGGGAAAATCATGTACATTCAAAATCTAAAGATCTCTAGGGTCATCAATTTTTGGAGTGTTCCTCAAAGTCCTTAGCATGTTACAATTTCCCAAAGTATACTTATTTTTTCACACCTATGTTATCGAGCACACCGGTATGCTCTTATCACATGTACATTCAATAGAGAAATATTGTCTTTTCGTGAATATAAAAATGTAAAAGTCTATCTGTGCAATTAAGAAATTAAAGATAACTTTTCCTATAAAGTAGGTATCTTTCTACTATTTTTTTATACAATTTTAAGAAAAGGTCGTCTCGATTTTTGTACATGTATTTGCGGTCTTCTCGATCTATTCACATTCAATGTTTACATCGAGATAAGGTCCGTTTGAATTAGTTTAGTAACTTAATTTCAAAAGTGCCAATCTTTGCTGCATATCAATAGATTCCTTTGGAAGTTTTTTCCCCGACTTTTTCTGATCTAGCTGTCTTTATATACGGATAATTAGCAGGTTCCAGAGAGGTATACAGCCAGTAGAAAAATAAATTGAAGTTGGTACTCCAGGAATTTATTCGCATAGCAACTGTGACATTTTAAACCAATTGTATATCAAGCATCTATAGCCTGCTGTACTCGTCGTTTGCTACTTAAAGTTGGAAATTATAACATTAAATGGAAGTTTTGTTTTTATTTCAACTTTTCCCATTGAGACGATCTAGATTTCAGTGTTTACAAGGGAGGTAATATTTTGTCACTAGATTTCCCACTATGATTGTAAGGTGTACATGTCCGTCTGACAGGGTTCATCTGACCTTGATCTCATTTTCATGGATCTGGTTGGTAAGTTTGTGTGATAGCTTTGATAATAAAATTGAGAATGGAAATGGGGAATATGTCAAAGAGAAATTTATTTAAAATTGTTATCTTAAAACATAAAATTCAATCATGATCAAATGTGGCAATATTTCAGCATGTGCCCCTTTTTTTCTATCAAATACTAACAGATAAGATAAGATAAGATATATAAGATAAGATATATTGTACAGATAAGATAAGATAGATAAGATAAGATATATTGTACAGATACAATAAGATATATTGTATTACCAATTAAGGGCCCACAAGGGGGATATAGAGAATACATGTATAAGGAAAAAGAACATTGATTAGCATAGATACATAGAATAAAATATGTAGGATTTAATAATGTACCCTATGAAATAATGTCCACCGGACATTATTTCATAGTAAATACTGTCCATGGTCAATATTTACTTATTTAAATGTATCCCGTACACAATTTTCCTATGAAAAATGTCCTTAGGTATGAAAAAGTCTCCATAAACATGAACATTATTTAAAACTATAATTCTGTAAAAAAATGTCCAGGTGTACTTTTTTTCACAGGACATTATGTCCGACAGGAAATTTTTTGGTATGATCTGAGACTACTATAACACATGTTATAGTAGTCTCAGGTATGATTAAAGTATTAAATAATATCCATTGCCATGTTATTGCTGGAAGTATTTTAACCTACAATTGCCTACTTTGAATACATTGTTACTTTGATAGAGAGTTGTCTCATTGGCACTCATACCATCCTTATCTTCTTATTTATATCTTTTTAATAGTATATATACATGTATAAGGATTTAAAAGTAACAGATGCAGTTCGATATTACTTCCCTTGGAGTATACAATTTAATAACAACTACTATAAAAAATTGTTCTGTGGGTGGACACTATTTCATAACTTTTGCTGGAAAATCCTGTCCACTTAGGGGACAATATTTAATGGCAGTGGACATTATTTAATACCAAAAATCAATATTTTCCTTTGTCTTCTTGTCATAATATGTATAGTAAAGTTCTTCAAATTTGATTTTATACTTTACACACTTCCTTCTTATTGTTCTTCTTTCATTATCATTAGCATTATCTGGGTATTTCTTAGAACTTATATAGTTATATAGTTATACATTCTCTATATTCACTTCCATCAATTATTTGTTGGTTTATTTTAATCAATTTCTAATCAGTTTTTCTAATTTTATTAAAATTGAGGTATAATAAAACATTTTAATGACCTTTGTATTACTTCCCATGGAGGACACAATTTAATAACAACTACTGTGAAAAATTGTCATGTGTGTGGACATTATTTCATAACTTTTGCTGTAAAATTCTGTCCACATAGGGGACAATATTTCATGGCAATGGACATTATTTAATACAAAATTCTATGAAAAACTGTCGAGGTGGACACTTTTTCACACGACACTATTATGTCTTACAAATACACAATTACAATACAACTAGACTGTAAAAAAGCCCTTGGTTTACAGTATATAATATATTTATATGAGAAATAAATACATCTAACTCATATTGACTTGAATACATTTTCCAACAGCATTAAGTACCTGATTGTCTTCACAGCTCAATAAACATATGAATTTTTGCTGATTTTCCAGTAAAGTAAATTTTGGCATTTTATGGCAAACAAAGTCAAAGAGAGCATCTCTACCAGAGTTAAATTTTTCACATGAAGTTAAAAACTGGATTTCATCTTCAACACAGCCAGAGGAGCATTTTTTTTTGCAAATTCTTTCATTTCGTAGAATATTTGAAAAACGGCCAAATTCTATTTGAAGCTTAGGAGCAGATATACGTAATTTATAAATAGCTCGTCTAAAATCAAAGTTCTTAACCAAAGAGATTTAAATTTCAAATAACTGAACAATTTTCCATCAGTAGCATTTGTTTGGCTAACATACCAATTGTTTATATATTTAGTGTGAATTAATTTGTTAGATATATTCAGAAATTTATAAATGCAAATCATTCTTATTCTTATTTAGGTCAGAGTTATGCCGCTTTGTCCAACGAACATCACTTGATGATAAATGGAAACTAGCACTATTTCAAAATTTTTGACATCTCAACCCAGTTCAACATAATCATGTTTACAATTTAGAATACTTCACTTTGCGAGCGGTACACTAAGAAGCTCTATAGTTTTTTTGGAAACTATTGTTCCAATACTTTCCTAAGGCATCGGCCCTATCAACGTGGATGAAGCCAGGTTAGCCATTAAATCTTCAACTGAGAAATATAGCTCCAAATACTTCTCATGTCTACGTAAATATGCACAAAGTAACTACACAAAATTGGGATATATCTTTACAGCAGCTGATTCAAGTATGAATGTTATTAGACAACTTTTTCCTAAACATGATGAATTATCTAAATCTATGCATATTTTTTATACATTAAGGAGTTTGTGCTTTGGTGTAACATTGATGTACCTTTCCATTCTGGAAAGAAAAGCTAAAATGTATTTAAATGTGAAGTTAATAGGCATATGATTATTACTGAATTATCAGTTCAATTTATATGGGCAGAGTATTCACCAACTACACACACATTATACATATTCAGTCAGGAAGTACAAGTTTACAGCTTCAATAGTTTACATAAAATTTTGTTTTCTTTCTTCAATTGGTCGCATACGGTCGCAATGAATTTTTTACAATGTATAGTATTTGTCACACTAATTTTTGCCTGTGTAAATTTTCCTGTGATTTGCGGTAAGACAGTTTTTGTTGCACTTATTTTCTGTCAATACTCTATTTATGTATTTTAGGATGTTTTTTAGGGAGAATTTATCCAAGATTATTTTTCAGCATGCTATTTGTCAGTCAAAAAATGCATGGTCGGTATTAAAAAACTTGTTCGCTTTTCGGTAATTTCACTTTCAGATATATCGTCTTGTGAGTGTTATAAAAAAATTGAAATAACATGTTATTAATTTCATGCGTCCGAAGCGCTTTTCTCGATTTACCTTCATCAGGAACGCTCACAGCCGAAGAACCGAAATAGTTGAAGAGCTATATAAACAAAAAGGACTTGAAAAAATAGCCAAATCTAGCTGCCCGAGGGAGTTGTGTTATAATTTTGTAAGTCCCTTTTTTCTAAGTGTTGGAAAATTGATCATGAAGTTTAAAAACGCGATATTATAAATATTTGAAAGATATGTAAAAAGTTATGTAGGAATTGAATTTAAGGACACGAAGAACTATTTGTCCATGATTGTATTTTTAATAGACAGGCACCTTTGATAAATAAAGTACCTCCTTTTCTGGAGATAGAACACTTCACGAGAAAAAATGTTATTTTAGAAATGAATCCCTTTATTTCGATTGGAGATAGATCAATCATGGAATTTTTAATCGTGTAATATCCCCAATTCGGGAATGCTTATTTTGCTAAGAATTACTCATAGATTGAATTCAAACCATGAAAACAATTTACGTACTACTACGATAATTTTAATAACAACTGTTTAACAGCAAATTGAATACTTGGAGAAAAAAGGTGGAGATACAACACTATAAAACTATGTTTCTATGAACTTCCGGTGCCCATCTAGATGAATGTGGAGATAGTCCTTATTAGAACAGTATAGTACATGTACTGACAAAAACTCGTAGTATGTAGAAATCTCGTATTATAGATATATAGGGAGATAGGCCATTGCACCTGGATATCAAATATATAGCTATCAGAGAGTACTTGAATAAATATATCATCACACCCACCAAAAATAGAGACGGATAGATATGCAAAAATCTATATAGATAAATCACAAAGGTTATGTAAAAAATACACGTTGGATAAAGTTGAAGATGAAGAACATTCTATATGCGAATGTCCCATTTATAATCTCTTGAGAAAAGAGTTTTTGATAAGTTGTAAAAATTACGAAATGTTAAACACTAAATTATTTGTGTCAAATAAACAATGTCTGTATCCATCTGATGAGTTAAGCCCTTTTCAACTGAATTTGATAGTTTGTTCTTATGTTGTACTGTTACACTGTTACACCACTGTCCCAAGTTAGGGGAGGGTTGGCGCCTTGAAACTAGTTTAACCCCGCCACATTCTGTATGTGCCTGTCCCAAGTCAGGAGCCTGTAATTCAGTGCATGGTTGTCGTTTGTTGCTGTATGTCATATTTATTTTTCGTTCATTACTTTGTATATAAATCAGGCCGTTAGTTTTCTCGTTTGAATTGTTTTACATTTGTCATTTCGGGGCATTTTATAACTGACTATGCAGTATGGATTTTACTCATTGTTGAAGGCCTACGGTGACCTATAGTTGTTAATCTCTGTGTCATTTGGTCTCTTGTAGAGCGTTGTCTCATTGGCAATCATACCACATCTTCTTATTTTTATACTGTAATAAATCACTTTGCTCTTCATTGGCCCTTTAATTGGAATAAAAACAAGTATCTTATCTTATACTGCTTAAAATAAAGGATACTAAGGAGAAAAACGGTTTGCTTCATATTTAGATCTGTTTCTCTCAATTGACTTTGACAGAACACCAAAAACAAAGATTTCAATCTAATTAAAATATAGATACGAGTAAGCGAGTTAAACGATAGATCTGAATTTTAATCAGATTGCAAAGATCTATGACAAAAATGTCCATTTCAGTTATCGTTTGTCAACTTCACTTTCTTCAATAGAAATATAGTGTACCATCCGGGCTACCGAATCCAGTATTTTGATTTGTTGTATTCTTTGCCTGAGTGCAATAATTGCACTCGAAAGTTTTATGACCGCAAGGCATTGTATCAGTGGCGGATCCAGAAATTTTCATAAAAGGGGGGGGGGCCTTTATTGTTTAATGGATACTTAAAATGGCGTATCTAAGTTAATACGATACGTTACCTGATGTCTTCATTATGGCGCAGACTTTAAGAGGGATAATTCAATTTTAATAAACGTGAACTGAAAAATTCACATTTATCGTTAACTTATAATTATTTAAATTCAGGGAGACGTAGAGGACACAAAAACGTTCAATTCTTGGAACCCTGTAATATTGATATATATATTTTTTTTTTTCATTCTCATATCAAATGAAAAATAAATTATTCTTTTTGCAATAAATAGGAAAGATGATATCGATTCAAGAGGATGTTCTTCGTGCATTATTGGTGATGAATAGGTCATGTGATACTGGTAATTACTTATATTTGATATAGTGTTGAATAACAAACAAACAAACAATCAAGACACACAAGACACACAAAAAAGTAAAATAACAAAAACTAAAAAAGTGTGAAATAACAGTACTGCAAAAAAGGTTTCGTCTTGTGAATTCAAAAGTCGTCTCATTTTGTACATATCTAAGAGCTAACAAATTTATATTATACGCTTAAAGTAATAGTAAATAAATAAACGTACATTTTCTATTAGCCCGAGATTGCTCGCAAGCATGACAGCTTTGTATAGGACTTGTTTGGGGCCGTTCTTTATATGTAATTCAATCTATGACAATCGTTCCGTATTTGCCATCCGTGAAGATATCGACATCAGTCATGGTTGCGCAGACTTTTTCAAACCCCACCATATTATATCTGTTTTAAGACGTGTATGAAAAAGGGTAAAATATATGACTGTTTCAATATCAAACAGCTCTCTGGATTATATTGGGGTCTCAATTTGATACGGTTTGTGATACTGAAAAGGCCATACAAATATATTCTCTATACATACATCTAATCTATTTGATGTGTATTTTTTGTTTTGGCGGGAAATATTCTGCACATACTCTGTGATAATTAGGTATTTCAATGTCGGACTTTTTTTATTCGCTTTTGCTTTTTACATCGCGATGACCTTGCTATCGCCTAGATTTCCATTATGTAAATTAGTTTTGGGTTTGTAACCGATCTATAAACATGATAAATACGCGCACATAAACGAGTGCAACATAACATTCCTTATCGTTTGATATAAATACATCTCTTCAATGAATACTGATAAAATATTTTTGTTTACAACATAAATTAATAATATGAAAATGTTTTGTAGTTAGATATATATATATAAGTAAAAAATCATTGATAATATCAATGCACACGTACCGAAAAATTGTGTTAAAGCATGCGGAAGAATATCTCAAAGAACGTTTTGTGAAAATACCGTCAAGGACCGGTAACTCTGTAATTGATTTTGCGGGAAAATATGAATGCCTACTCGTATCCAATCTTAGAAAAATCGAATTTTTACAGAAAAGTGTCCACCATGCACTTGCATTGCACTATTTTTAGAATAGTAGAATAGAATGATATACAAATGGATTCAAATCATATATATATGTAACTGTTATTTTAATATAATATAAACAACAACTCAGTGTATACTGATTTGTATCACTACAATATAATAGTTATTACGGTGAAGTTGAATTTCCTGTCATTTATTCATCATCCACGCACGAACTTGTCTTAGAAAAAAATATATCTCTGTACATTAACCTCAGTTTTAGGTAAAGAGATATGTTGTTTTTTTCTGAGACAAGTGCTTTTGACCATCCTCAAGAACTTGTGGTCATCCGATGTTCAGTACTTCAGTACTTTGATTTAATTTATTTTCATGTTAATAATATCATACGACCTGGGACTTATACATTATATTTTAGTCCCAGATAAGACAGATTAACAGTGTTTTATATACAGTGTTTTATATAGCTTTGTTCTCCGGCCGTGATCAAAGATATTTATATGAATACTATAAAATGAATTGATAAAAAAAATCGTTTTGTAACCATTTTTAAGGTGCTCATCACAGATCAAACGAATAAAAAAAAGAGGGAAAAAAATACTGCAGAAAAAGCCGTCGTTCTGTTATTAGAAAGCTGGTCTCATTTCGAAGAATACTGAGACCTTGCAAATCAACAGATTACTAGTTGCTCAGAGGAAAATATCTGGAATTTACCATGATTCTACCATGTGCAGTGTCAGTTTTTTAATGTCTGACATTTTTCTTCATTTAAAATTTATATAATTTTGGTTTTAAAAATTTGAATAGATAACAGATTCATAATCTACATGCTATATAATGTATTAGAACAATTATTTTGTAACCATTTTAGAAAAGCTAACAAAATGTTTTCAAGTTTCCTGTAATATTTGTACGGACAACAAAACGGAAAGAATGTCTTGTCATTTTTACCGGTTACCGTTTTTTATTATAGAATTTTGTATTCACCAAATATTAGGGTCACAGGAGGGTACACAACACATACTTAATACGATTATAAACATTTGCAGAACGATATTATATATTCAATCTAGACAACAGATATAATTTTGTTTTAACCAACTTATTATGATAAAACTAATATTATGTTGAAATTGACCCCAAGTGCATCAGTGCTTTATTGAAGGAAACCTGCTCACTCTATTACCTTTTGGTCCATTGAATGTAGTATGGATGAATAGATGGCTGTTTACAGTCCTGTGGCAAATAAAATGCATATTCAGGACGAAAACATGATGATGTGGTATGAATATAAACACTGTTTTTGTACTAGACCGACTCGCTGAGTCGGATATTTTTTTACGTGCTAGTTCACAACTTGAAGGTAACAGTCAACAGGAAGACATGTCACCTTACCCGGACATATTATTCCGACTGCGAGCCGACCAGTCTTTGCTCATATTCACAAAATGCCGGTGATCGAACCCACAACCCCCGCACTAGAGGTTTAGATGCATGTAGGATATTAAAACCCGGGTTTTCAAGATAAAAAATAGACTAATTTTGTACAGTACTTAATTACGGGAATAACTTTCCTAGTTCATGAATTTCGGTTTTAGGCAACGTAAATATTTATGTAGGCAAATTTAGAATTTAATGCATTTTGCAAGTCCTGTGTAAAATTAATTTCTATGATGGGGACAATAACTTGTATCCTAAAAGAAGCTTTCTCACTTTTTTTTTTACCGAAATCCACAAATGTTATGAAATAAAAAGACATATTTCAAATTCTTGAAGTGATTTCGTTCTTACCGGGTATGAAAGAACACTTGACAAGAGATGCGCAATACGTTGATCTTTTAGTAATTTAATTTTGGATGTAACACGTCTTCTGATTGGCTGAAATTTTTTGTCTATCAGCTCTAAGACATAATTTTTTCATGTGACCATTTTTTCATGATTTATTCCTTACAAATGGAATTTAGTATTAAATCATAAGTAATGATAGTAATATTTTTTTCTGTATATTCGAAATAACCTCAAAAATGTGGTGCACACTTTTAAATAACTCAGTGTGTGTACCACATTTTTGAGGTTATTTCTTCATAAACATAAAAAATAATTAACATCTGATATCAATCCCGAACTGTTTAAAATTGGAATTCGATTATTTGAGTTTTTTTTGTATATTCTATACGTTAATGCACGTATTGTTAGTTTTGCGTTAGTATTATTCATTTGTTGAGCTCTAAACATCGACTATCGTACTTCCTCTTATAACAAAGTTATGACTTCCTCCTGATATGAGAACTTGCTTAAGTATGAATAGTATAATAAGGGTTGTTTAATATCAGAGTTGATAAGTTCAGTCAAATCTAGACAAAAAAAGCACCATAATATTAAGTATGTTGAAACATTTTTTTTAGTGTAAATAATGACAAATACAATATCGAAATCCTGAATCCGACCTCTCTCCTTCTTTTCTGTACGTTACAAATTATTTATCACTGTACATTTTCAGGAGCCAGTAGTTCTCATTACGCGTTCTATGCGTATTTGTCACATGACTTACCAGAGCCTGGAGGAAATCATCATTTTGTTTACGACACTATCATGACAAACATTGGACATGCATACAGCAGCATAACTGGGACATTTACAGTCCCTCGTAATGGAATCTACTCCTTTACCTGGTCCACCCGAGTCGCGTGTTCCAAGGCACATACAACACAGCTTGTTGTCAATACGAGAGTACTTGGGAGTACTTACATCTGGTGTGGTTATAATACAGTGACTGGTCATGTCGTAACTCACGCTTCACAAGGCGATGCTGTGTATGTACGAACTCACTCTTCGCCAGGTCAAGGTGCGATAAAGAGTAGTGACGCAGGCAGATCTGCATTTTCAGGATTTTTAATTGCTTGATTTTAACATTAAAATCCGATTACACGGAATTAACAATCTTTACATATTAGCACAATATATCATCAGGTCTAAAAATTTATATTTGTTTGTTAATCATAATACAATGATAGCCTGCTCACTCACATGCCATTGGGGCATGGATCCCCTTTTAGAGTCTCGCTTGCTTTACTTATCATGATTGAATTTATGTTGAAAGTGTGTAATTATATGAAGGTTTTACTATATTTTTCAAATAAAATAAGCATTATCAATGATCATTGTTTATAAGTCAAGGTCATATGTCCAAACAGGCATGTACACCTTACAATCATACAATACATCAAATACCGGCATAGTTAACCAATTGCTGATCATTTAATTTTACATTCAGATATATTGATGACGTTCTTTCCGTCAACAATCCAAACTTTGCTGATTGGGTTCCATATTCATATCCCCCAGAACTAGAATTTAAAGAAACAACAGACACGGCTTCCTCCGCCTCATTTTTAGACTTGTACCTCGAATTTGACATAAGTGGTCATCTCAGTACCAGAATCTATGACTAGCAAGACGATTTTTATTTTGAAATCATGAATTTTTCACCTTAGCACCAACATACCAATTTCACCTGCATATGGGATATACATTTCCCAACTCATTCGGTATTCAAGAGCTTGCAACTGCTACTCAGACTTCATAAAACATCACCAGTGTCTGAGCAGAAAGTTGATGAACCAGGGTTATTTCAAAGAACGTCTCGTCTTTTTTCAAAAAAAAGTTCATCAGAGGATACCAATATCTTGTTGATAAATGTTCCATATCATCTTCACAAATAATACATGACGTTGTTTATAATCATTTAATTACGTGTTATAGTGTTCTTTTAATTTGTCTTTGTATATTTTTATCCTTTACTGCCCAGTCCGTTTTTATGCCCCTAGGTGGGGCATTATGTTTTTCGGTCTGTGCGTCCGTTCGTCCGTCCGTCCGTTCGTCCCGCTTCAGGTTAAAGTTTCTGGTCAAGGGAGTTTATGATGAAGTTGAAGTCCAATCAACTTGAAACCTAGTACTCATGTTCCCTATGATATGATCTTTCTAATCTTAATGCCAAATTAGAGTTTTGACCCCAATTTCACGGTCCATTGAACATAGAAAATGATAGTTCGAGTTGGGCATCCGTGTACTATGGACACATTCTTGTTGGTATATACTTCTGGCGCTGCTAGGTATTTATACATCCCGCTAAAGTGTTATTGTGCTATGGTAATTTTCGTATTCTTGTCTTTTATTTTTGTTTATATACTTTGTCTATAGAGTGTCTATATGCTATTTTGTTTTTCTTTGTTGAAATAGTTGTTTTATAGTGATTAAGATTATAACACAATGTTGCCTGCTGTTCCCTAATTTTGACATTTTTACCTGTTATGTCTGTTTGTTTTGCTCACACATTGTTGTCAATATAATGGAATTCTATGCGACTGTCATACAAGTGAGAGGTTTAGCTAGCTATAATACCATTTTCTACATAAGGAAATGCCTGTACCAAGTCTACATGAATATGATAGTTGTTTTCCATTTGTTTGGAGTGTTTTAGCTTTGATTTTGCCATTTGATAGGGGACTTTCCGTTTTGGGATTTCCTTGGGGTTCGGTGTTTTTATTATTTTACTTTTTACTACAACCAAGTCGATGTCAAAGTTTTTCCTAGAAGAAACTTTACTGCTGGTGGATTATTCCCCGAGGGCATCATTAACTTGGTAGCGTAATGTATGATGAATACAAAGAACAAATCGGCTATTACGTCGCCCAGGTTACCAAGGTCCTCTTCTGCTACACGGAACACTGTAGTATTTGATTTGTGCGTTCCACAGAATATCATTCGGGATATCCCTGAATTGACTTATATACAGCCAGAAGGTAATTATTACTTTCAAAATTCAGACACTTTTCAAAAATTAAAACCATGTACTGTTAATATTTCGACTGTTTAAAGACACCTGCTATACAGGTGAATCAACTATCATTTCTACTTGTAAACGTACAAAGGGAAAGAGGAGCACATATAAGACATGTGATATGTTAATCATCACTCCAGATTTCACTAGTAACTTAACAGGAAAAACTTATGCAAATTTTCATCTACAGTTTTTCGTTTTAAAACTGACGAAGTTCCTGTGGTGCCCGTACTAAAATATTTAGAAATATTTGGTTGCATGGATTGGTTTCGTGCTCAACAGCTGTCCGACAAGACAGGTCAATACGGATCAATACATCATACCCCCGGCCAGTACCGTTAATTGAAAATCTCGGCATAAGAAATGTACAATACCCCCCTGGTACTAAGAAATCGATATTTAAAGTACGAGAATTGCGATCAATATATGATACCGGCCTACCCAGAGTTATTCGTTCTATTTTTTTTAAATATGTACAACAGGACCTGTACAAACCAGTTCAAATTCTTGGAATCCCGGATGACGTAATTAAATCTGATTGGCTAAGATAGAACAGTGATGAAGGGATTTTCCACTTTCTATTTTGGACACGCCAAGAATTTTTTGTTACTAGTCCGTCGGGCATATTGGGTTAAACATTTTGATTGCCCGAGGCGTAAATGCTCTTGTCCCGGGCGTCGGGCTAGTGGATTTTTTAACCCCTGAAATTTATTATTTCACAGTCCAAACTTTTCTGATTGGGTTCCATTAATAGATCCTCCAGAACTAGAAATAAAAGAAACAATTAACAGACACAGCTACCTCCGCCTCATTTTTAGACTTATACCTCGAATTTGACATAAGTGGTCATCTCAGTACCAGAGTCTATGACAAGCGAGACGATTTTAATTTTAAAATTATAAATTTCCCCTACCTTAGCAGCAATATACCAACTTCACCTGCATAATGGATATACATTTCCCAACTCATTCGATATTCAAGAGCTTGCAGCTGCTACTCAGACTTTATAAAACGTCACCAGTGTCTGAGCCGAAATTTATGAACCAGGGTTATGTTAAAGAACGTCTCGTCCTTTTCCTAAAAAAATTTCATCGGAAGATATCAATACCTTTTTGATAATTATTCCGTATCAACTTTACAAATAATTCATGATGGTCTTAAAGTATAGATTATAGATACTGACGTTGTTTATCACCTTAATCACGTGTCACCGGGGGTATAGTGTTCTTTTAATTTGTCCTTGTATATTTTTATAACCTTTACTGTTTAGTCCATTTTTGGTATATACTTTTGGTGTGGCTACGTATTGATACATCCCGCTATTGTGTTATTGTGCGTGGTCATTTTTGTATTCTTGTCTTTCATGTATGCTTATGTGCTTTGTCTATAGAGTGTATATATGCTATTTTGTTTTCCTTTGCTGAAATAGTTATTTGTTTTGTTTGCTCACACAGTGTTGTCAATATAATGGAAATCTATGCGACTGTCATACAAGTGAGAGGTTTAGCTAGCTATAAAACCAGGTTTAATCCACCATTTTCTACATAAGGAAATGCCTGTACCAAGTCAGGAATATGACAGTTGTTTTCAATTGGTTTGGTTTGTTTTATAGCTTTTGATTTTGCCATCTGATAGGGGGACTTTACGTTTTGGGTTTTCCTTGGGGTTCGGTATTTTTGTTATTATATTTTTTTATAGGAACTATAGGAAACTGATGTCACTTATGATAGACAATGATATTTTCTATAAAGTTGCATTACTATCGGTACATCTCGGTTTGACGCGTCATGGTCCATAAATTTGAATTAATTAGCAATGTTGCTGTCCATCAGATTACATTTTTCTGAATTTTCTGCCGACAGGGGGGACATATTCCCTATGTAACAGTTTATTTTTCAAAGTATGAAGTAAGGGAAATAACTCTGGTTTGTTTAAGTCTTATAAATGCGTAGCTGTGTTCCATATAATACTGATTTATTTAAGTTTTTTTTCTTCTAAACTGATGTTTTATTCGAAATGAAAGCAAGGGACGACCACATTTTGCATGAGGCTCAGATATCTGTTTTCCCTGACTTACGATATTTAACAGGACATCGGTACATAATCTTTAGATTTTCCAATCAGTAAAGTCAAATATTACGTGTTTTATCTTCAATGTTCATGACTCTTGCATATTCAAAGCTACCTATAGAAATGGACACATCGTATTTGTATAACAAGTTTTTACTTCTTACACTGGTATTACATGTAACTTATTCAGACACCATATTAGATAGGTTGCAGAAACTGGAACAATATTCAACTTCTCAAAACGAAAAGATATCTTCACTGGAAAATGTCATCACACACCTAGAAAATACCGTCAGACATCTTGATAATGAAAACAGTGAATTACGATCTGTCCAAACCATATTAACGCCACTGTTATCTAGAAGAAGAGCACACCAGGACCAGTTAAATGTGAAAGATGCACGTAGACTCTTGCTAGGTAAGTTCGAATTATCTGTCGTTTATATAGTGGAAAAGAAAAAAAAAAACATGATGTATCAGTTCATAACACTGAATCACTGCACCTACATAAAATAACTAAAGCCCCAAAACAAAAACAAAATCCATTGCGTTTAACGCTGTCCTTCATTTCAAAGCCATAGGTGAAGACTTCAACATGAATAAAAACTATCACTCCACTGTAAGTTAAAGACGGCAAAAATGAGTGATCACGATGAAGTCTCGCCTATTATGACTAAATATTACATATGGTGTAGCATTCTCCTGTTTTCATTGGATATTACGATCACGTGTTTCAAATAATGATTTCATGTATCTGAAGCCTTGATTCTGTTTTTAAGTATATTGACGCCATGTTTCTAATTATACGTGTATTGACGGTCAATATTAAGAATCTGTGACGTCACACATAACAATCATGGCGGAAGCGCCGAAGAGTACGAAAAGAAAATTTGCAAGTAAACTGAAATGAGTTCCATTTGAATTCTTATTTGTTCTAAACAGATGATTTTGTTTACAATAAAACAAGTTAATCTTATTTATCAATATTTTCAATAGCATGTTAAATATCTTGCAAAATAAAATTTAAAAAAACACACAAAGAACATTGAAGTCCATTTTTCTAATACATTATTTACATATGTAAAATATAAATTAAGGACTTTCACTCAGTCAATACGTTATATATGGACCTGTTAGATTATATTGACACTCGGACTTCGTCCTCGGTCAATATAATCTGAACAGGTCCATATATAACGTATTGACCTCGTAAAAAGTCCATAATTGATAAATATTATGCCATTCGTGAGATAAAAGTCAAACTGCATTGAGGTATAGGCATCAAACGTGCAGGGGGCGATGTAATCATATGGAAAACTATCGTAATTAGCAACTATCTCGATACAAATAAAATTGGTAGGTTATGACACTGCAATTGGTGCACTAAGGGTCACAGTAACCAGATTGTTGACACGAAACAGATGAACATATATACAAAATAACATAGAATGAAAGCACACATTATCACTAAACTTGTAATAAAACAATACATAAAAGGAAAGATTAGTTTACCGATATTCATCGAGCGATTTCCATTTCGCTGAACTAGTATACGCCTCTGGGTGCGGGATTTAGTATACGCCTCTTGTTGATCAAATTACTTCCCTTAGCTTAAGATTGAAAATATAATTTATTATAGATTTGCGGATAATCCAGTCCTATTCCGTCATGTATCTAAAACTAACGGTCTCACTAATTAGCGACAAGAAGAATTTTAGCGACAAGAAGCGACAAGAAGCGTCAAGAAGCGACAAGAAGAATAAATTTAGCGACAAGAAGACTATTTAGCGACAAGAAAACTTAATAAAAATATTATTAAAATAAATATAATAAAAAAATATGCATTGACATTTTTATTTTAATATACGGAAAGTAAAGTGATTTTCATTTTTTATTTTAAATATATTGATAGATATTGATAAATATAGAAATTTCCCTGTCATAGTATGATATTAATTTTTACATGTTCTTGTGTTTTAGAACAATAATATATTTATTTTATAATTTTTTTAACACTCTCTTTGTCTAAAATATAATAAACTGACTGCATGCAAAATGCATATTATACGTGAATCAGTGTCCAGAAAAGATAATGTTACTAAAACGTGAATATTTTATTTGGGTATTGACTTATCAAACGATATGTATGATGTTTATGCATAGTTTAAAGTTGATTCAAGATTAAAGGTAATTAAAGACAATGTTGTGTGTTCAACAGTTGCTCACTATTTACAATTATTGTATCATTCTGGCGCGTGTAGTTGTATAGTCTGACGCGTGTTTAAAGTTATAGGTGTTAATTGAATGTTATTGTAGCAATACAATAAGGGACACACGTTCCTTCCTCCAACCATGATTCTAATTTGTTCATCCTTAAGCGTCATTATGCTTCTATGAAAAGAAGTAATTCTTACAAGAAAATAATCAGCTGGTTCGAAAAAAATGCCTGGCCATTCTCTTGAAACCATGAAGAAAGCAATAGCAGAATACATAGGTACCTATCCTATTAAACAAACAAAATATTGCTGATGATATATGCAAGCTGTCATCAATATTAATTCTTTGAAAGAAATTGTTCAGATCACAGGCAAACCTCAAAATGTTATCTTGACTCATTAATTTCTTCACTCTATCAATATAATAAAAAAAATGAAATATCTTTATTGCTGTCAATGCATATTTTTTTAATATATTTATTTTAATAATATTTTTTTTAAGTTTTCTTGTCGCTAAATAGTCTTCTTGTCGCTTCTTGTCGCTAAATTTATTCTTCTTGTCGCTTCTCGACGCTTCTTGTCGCTTCTTGACGCTTCTTGTCGCTAATTAGTGAGACCCAAAACTAATGTATCGTTAAAAACTTCCTTTGGCGGATATTTACAAAAATGCTGTGTAATTCTAAGGGAAAATGCTTAAAATTTGACTTTTTACGAAATGGGAAGGTTGAAATCATCATGTTTTTAAAAGAATTTGGCCGAAAACTTAAGAAAGCAGGTAAGTTAAAAGTTATTTAACTTTAAAATTCAACCTACGAGATGTTTCCCTATATGCGAACAAATCATGAACAATATCTTCTTGCATGTGTATTTCTGTTTTGATTCTTGCTATTTTACGATTTTACGTCATTTCATTTGATCTTATATAGCAATTACACAATGGTTACGCTTCCGATTTTTAAACTAAAAAGGCCGAAAGATTTCAGAGTAGACAATGTCCATTTGTACACGGACAGAAGCCTAAAAACATGTACAATTCACCTATATGCGAACAAATTGTTCATTCGACATAGGTATTTCCATATTGGCATTTTTATTAAAAGGGCTTATATAATCCTATTGTAATGGCTGCCGTCATGATAAGGCAAAATGGCCGCTATGCAAATTAGCAAATTACCCCAAATTTTGCCATATGATGCGTTGAAGACCCATTGGTCGCCTTGGGCTGTTTTCTGCTCTTAGGTCGAGTTGTGGTCTCTTGACACATTCCCCGTCTCTCTTCGAGACTCTATTCTATATATACTGAACACATGCGCAACCCATCTCCAATTAAGCGTCAAATTAATGGTTGCGTCCATACGGACACAAATGAGGTCAAATTGATCACCTGTATCTATTTACCTTTACATATGTTGCAGATGGACCATCAAATGGACAGTATGCTTTCTATGCGTTTATGTCACGTGACGAACCAGAACCTGGAGGACACCATCTTCTCGTATATGACAATGTCGTGACTAATGTAGGAAATGCATTTAACAATTTTACTGGTATATTCACAGTTCCTCGTTCAGGTATCTACTCTTTTACCTGGTCCACTAGAGTCGCATGTCACAAGGCACACACAACTGAATTAGTTATCAACACGAGGATTCTTGGCAGTACATACGTTTATTGTGGCTACAATACCGTGACTGGACATGTTGTCACCTCTGCTTCCCAAGGCGAAGCTATTTTTGTTCGGACTCATTTGACATCACCGGGACAAGGTGCGATAAAAAGTGATGAATTCGGTAGATCTGCATTTTCGGGATTCATGATTGGCTAAAGAAAGTCAGAAATTTCAATATTTTATTCATGTATGTTGTAAGGGAAATTCAAATATTTATAAAAGTCTTTAAGTTTTATTCTATAATAGTCACAGAGAGACAACAGTTTTACTTGAAGCAGACTACACTACTGTCTCAGGTAAGGGAAGGGTTGGCGCCTTCAAACATGTTTAAACCCGGCAAATTCTTTATGTTCCTGTCCTAGGTCAGTAGTAAACAATAGGAACTAAAAATAAATATGCAGAAAACAAAGGTTATGATATTTTCAAAAGGTCGACTGTCAAAGAATTTGAATTTTGAGCCTGTAGTTCAATGGTTGTTGTTGGTTCATGTCTGTCATATTAATTTTTTCGTAAATTGTTTTGTTATAAATTAGGCCGTTAGTTTTCTCAATCGAATTGTTACATATTTTTCATGTCGGGACCTTTTATAGCCGACTCATTGTTGAGGGCCATACGGTTGCTTATAATGGCTTACATCCAATTCATTTAAATTTTGGTGGATAGTTGTCTCATTGGCAAAAAAAATCTGTTTGAATCCTATAACACAATCGATGCTGTTATCGTAACGTTAAAAACATAATACCCTTACTATCGTAACGTTAAAAACATAATACCCTTACTATCGTAACGTTAAAAACATAATACCCTTACTATCGTAACGTTAAAAACATAATACCCTTACTATCGTAACGTTAAAAACATAATACCCTTACTATCGTAACGTTAAAAACATAATACCCAAACTCCGTACAGTGATCGTTTCCGTCGGTGTTATGCAGCTAACGCTTATTGTTACAAGTGCAGACATCATGGACATTTTGCCCGTATGTGTAGTTTTCACGTTAAGTCGTGTGAAAACCCAAAACCGAAGAAGAAATCAAAGTCAAAAATTCAAAGAGACAGCGACCGAATGAGAACGTTTATTGAGAAGAAACAAATGTCTCAATTTCCGTTTCAAGAACTCGAGGACAAGGAACTCTCCGCTTTAACGTGCCCCATACAGGACGAATCCGCGAAACTACACATTAACAAGTTGAAAGTGTCTAACCGAAACATCATCAAAGAAATCGCTGTGCTGAAGTGTGAAAATTCTAAATTGGATACCGTAGTGAAAGATAATGTAATGTTGAGTGACAGTTTGGACAAATTAAATTTGGAACGTTTAGAACATGGCCAGATAATTCAAAAGATCGAACATGAATTAGCCGAACATACAAGTCGAACTAAAAATTTTGAAAAAGAAATAAGTGGTTATACAGATAGAAATGAACATTTGGAAAGAGTAATAGTTCAACTGAAAGAGGAAAACCTAAATTTAACGAACACCAGACAACGCTTAACAATGGAGTTCAAAAATTCTGACATGCAGTACAATCGCATCTTAAATGATATGGAAGACGAAATTCAGAGACTTAAGGAAGAGAACGTAAACAGTAGACACGAGATTCAACATCTAGAAATAAAACATTCAAACCGAGATGTGCGTTCGACCCTTGCAATTTGCTCGCGTGGCAATTCGCAGCAACGTCATCGGCGAGGAGGAGGATACCCACGACGATAACAAAATTCATTCGGCAAACTCAGAGACCGAGTTTAGGTGGAGTAGTGGCGAATATAACCAGGAAGATTTGGACAAATGTGTAATAGAAATAAAGCTAATTCCGACAATATATTTTAAGTGCTATAGTGACAATTTATTAATCCGTTTATCAAACCTTTTACATTTCTTTGTGTGTAATTAATTACTATATATATATAAAAATATTAATTTTCGCGAACCATTTAGGTCACGGAAATTCCATTTTTTGCCATCAGTAAGGAGAGTTGTACAAATAATGTGATTACACAGAACCCCGATCAAATTCATCTTTTGCTAAATATATTTATCATTTTCTGTTTTATATCTCCTAACATCATTCCATTTTTCTCTAATTTCGATTAAAACTTGCCAAAACCTGCAGTAAAAATAGATGTATGCCCCAAATAAACATTCCCCGATTGGTTGAACTACTTTTGCGTCGATGTAAGCCTCGATGTAAAGCAACGCAAGCCTCGATGTAAAGCACACGCTTCCCAAGAGTAAGGAGAGTTGTACAAATAATGTGAATACACAGACTCCCGATCCAATTTATCTTTTGCTAAAAGTGTTCATCATTTTCTGTTTTGTATCTACCAACAACATTCCATTTTTCTATAATCGCGATTTAAACATGTCAAAACCTGCAGTAAAAATAGATGTATGCCCCAAGTAAACATTCCCCGATTGGATGAAAAGCTGTGGCCTTGATCTAAAGCAACGCAAGCACACGAAAAAATTTCCGTTGATATGTTGAACTTCGACCCCGGGCCGATTCACAAGGAGACTTTCTTGCGCTCAAATGTAATTTTAAGTGAAGTATACTGGGAAAGTAAAATTATATTCTTTTACAGAAATATTAACACATTTTATCATTAATGTATTGTCATGCTTCTGCATATTTACGCTGAGCTTTAGTTAAATATAATTCTACACAAATTTTGTTACGTCAAGCATTAAGAGTAAGAATATTTCGCGCCAAAACAAGAAAATCACCTGTATCACAAAATAAGTTGTCAGCATCTTTCTGAAATTTTCCAATAGAAAATAGCGTTTAGTGTAGAGAAATTTTGGTAAGTATTACTAATTAATGTTAAGGTTCTCCAGAGGTGGTTCTTTAGACCTTCTTGACGGTCAATTTAATCCCATTTATCAATTATCCCGGATGACAGAAATTATGGCAACCCAGTCGATACACCTTATCGCTATTCCCGCTTGACCCGAGAATCTGTCCCGCTCGAACTTTTGTTCTATTGTTAAATATATGTTTGTCGTAATGGAAATCACTCTGACGATGACAAGTTAATCCTTTGGACACTAATCCTTTGCTATAGTAAATGTTTTCTATATATGCTTTTGTATGTTATTTTGTAGTCAGTTTAGGTCTTAGGTCTGGTACTGTCCGGACCTTGCTAATAAAGTTTAAAGTATTGGTATTCCGTCTTTGAATTACTATAACACGGAAAACGCCCGGTTATATATACGTCAAAAGGATAGCAACATTCTATTAGAATGAAATATGTTTTGAGTAATATATTCTAAAAAACAATATACTATTATTTGAATGCATCTTTCAGTATACCTATGTTAAAAATCCAAACCAAGTAAGCTGTGTACTAATATAAACTGACCCGATATGGTTTTGCTTTTTACTTTTAAATTCTATCGATCATCTATCTTATCGTTGCAATGTTTGACTTTTTCCTGTGGATTTTTAAAGGTTTTGCTCTAAGGATACAAGATTTTCAGGATTTTATTATCCTCTTTTAACCTTGATCAGTGGCATACAAATGTCCAGAAAAGTCGAATAACAGTTAAGAAAATAAATACAATATTGGTATGACAGATGGAGAAAACACAGGTACCAGTCCAAATAAAACAAAAGTCTAGACAGCGGATACACTGGGCTTTACTTCCATGTATATATCATATACTGCATTTCCTTTGAAATTATAATGTTTCTTCGGTAATGTTCAAAATAAGACTATTGAAACATCACTGGCAATGTAGCTTTGAATGTGTACAAAATAATTAATCAGGGAATGAACGACTGGTTAAATTTTTAAAGCTGGTAAACATTGGTCGTACTTTCAATGAATCTACAACAGCCATCATCGGAACATTAACTCATACGGCTAGAGCATCCGCCACGTTCTTATCTATATAAACAGAATAATAAAATGATTTTTTTCAAGCAATTGTCATTTAAAGACTTTAAAATGGTTGTATGAGTGTACATCTGACAGGGTTCATCTGACCTTGACCTCTTGGTCAATGTTAAGGTTTCGTGGTTCGGTCAATTTCTCGGATACTATAAGCAATTGGTCAACTATACTTGGTGTTTGGAAGGATTGTAAGGTGAACATGCCCATTTAGCAGGGTTCGTCTGACCTTGACTTAATTTTCATGGTTAGGTTTTCGTGGTTTGATTTGTTTTTCTTACACTATAAACTATTGGTTAACTTTATTTGGTGCAAGGAATAGTTGTAAGGCGCAACTGTCCGTATGTCAAGGTTCATCTGCGCTGGACCTCTTTGTTTATCATTTTAACTATTACATTGTTACCTCTACAGTTCAATTTTAAAGTAAATTGCCTAAGCTCTTAATATGATTCCAAAAAATGGAATATATTCCTATAACGAGTTGATTTTTTAGATCTTGTATTGCTGATCAATTTTGTTCAACCGTTTATATCTGACTATTATAGTTATTAATATAACTGCAGAATTAAAAAAGAGTGCACACGCTGAAATGTCTCGCCAGACAGACATCTGCACCTTAAAATCATTGCATACACGAATTGAAGTGGGCTTTTTGCTTATACCATCTGAGAAATAGGCAAATCCACAAACTAGAGTGCACACGCTTAATGTCTCGCCTGCTTTACTGACCATTGATTTTATGTTGAAAATCTTAAAGATAAAGGTTTTACTAAAAGCATTACAGAAACTTAACATTTTGTTAGATCTATGACAATGAGGTCAAGGTCAAATAAATCGTGTCAGACAGACATATACACCTTACAATTTTTTTATACACCAAATATAGTTGACCTATTGCGTATGCTAATTGAAAAACAGACCAAAACACAAAAACTTAACATTGACCAATAAACCATGAAATAGAGGTCAAGGTCAGATGAAACCTGCCATACTGACATGTACTCATTACAACCATTCCATACACCAAATATAATTGACCTACTGCTTATAGTAATTGAGAAACGGACCTTATCATGTAACTTTAACCTTGATCACTGGTCCATGAAATGAGGTCGAGGTCAGGTGAACTCTGTCTGACAAACAAGTAGACGTTGCAAGGAACCCATATACCAAATATAGTTATCCTATTTCTAATATTAAGTGATAAATTAACATGACAAAAAAACTCAATTTTTTTTTCAAGCTGTCGCTGAACAATGAAAATGAGGTCAAGGACAATGGACATATGATTGACAGAAACTTCGTAACATAAGGTATCTGCATACAAGATATGAAGCGTCCAGGTCTTCTACCTTCTGAAATATAAAGCTTTATACAAATAGTTTACGCCGCCGTCGGATAGTAATACCTATGTCTCGCATACTGCGACTTTCGTCCCAGGAGAGACAAAAACGTAACATTGACCAATGATAATGAGGTCAAGGTCGGTCAGGTGAAAGCTGCCAATCGGATACGAACACCTTACAATTATCCACATACCAAGTATAGTTGTCCTATTGCTTATATAAATAGTATCTGAGATACGGACTTGACCACGAAAACTTGGATGGAGAGTTGTCTCATTGGCACTCATACCACATCTTCTTATATCTATTAACCTTGATAACTGAACCATGATAAAAGGTGGAGGTCAGGTGAACCCTGTCTGACAGACCTGCAAGGATCACATATATATGTAGTGATGTTCCAAATAAAGTTATTCTATTACTTATAAA